ACCTGAAAATACAAAAAAGTATATTCTGACCCTTGCGCGCGTTTCAATGCGCGTCTTTTCCAGCACAGTTTAAATTGAAAGTCATTATCATAAATTTCTGTTTTACTGAGCTAGCTTGTTCAGTCCATATTAGGGGATATTTCGCCTCGTTTTTGTGTTTTTTCTTGTCTTTCTTCCTTTTTTTTTTTTTTTTTTTTTNGACCACCACTAATGATTCCCCGAACATGATGACCTGGCGCTTGTTCATTAAGTAAACATGCAGATTTTTCTTGTCGAGAAAAGAAGTCCAAGTTATGTTTCTTCATTGGTGACCTTTGCAATGAAGATATTGTCCCTGTACGAAGTGTCTTTTCTGCTAAGCAATCCTTGCCAACCATAAACATGATTTCATAAAAACAACATTTCATGTTACCATTTGCTAGCGGAGAAACGGCTTTTTGTCATCACTGGGTCATCTTCATAAGCCATTCTTGGTAATTCAATGAAGCCCCTTTGCCAAGAAGACTGAACAGAAAGTCGTAGTACCAAAACTGTTCGGAACTTTAGAATTTGACCTCTTACATTACAACTAGCAAATCAAGAATCGGAAGCAAACAGCAGTTATGATCGGCACTTTTTTACGCAGTTTGATTACTAATCTGGAGAAAAGGGCCGGTAATTTTTGTCCTTTCACTTACCTTTTGGTGAAATTTCTCAAAATAAGTTAGCTGCTGTGAAATCAAGGTTTCTAGGTCGTACATTTAAATATATTGATAACAACAGACTCTGTGGCTGTGTATCTGTCCAACTATGGCCAAGTTAATTAAACTGCAATTTCAATTAACAGTGTATAAATTATTTTTAATTGAAATTTAGATTCATGTTTAATTAATTAACTGAAATTTTGTGCGTGAGGTATTTTTCAGTCATCCTTGCAGTTGAGATTAATCATTGGTAGTTCTTAGTTTTTCGACAGCCAATGGTCAAAAGATAAATTCGTCATAGTATGACCTGGTTATAGTGTTTATCATTGACTTGTTAAAAGTAAATGCAGGATTTTTTTTTTCTGATGACACAAAAGCGGCTATAAATAACGCGAGCGTTATTAGTTACTTGGGTAGCTCTTTCCCTGCAGAAAAAATCTAGCCCTTAAACTCAGTTCTCACTTTTCCGCCATAAGCCTGTAGAAGCTCTTAGAAGTAACCTCTCCTTCAATGAGCAGCTTCTGGAATATATATACCCATTACCGTGACCTCGCTTGTACTTGTTCCCGTTTGCGTGGTTAGACCAAAATATTATAAGAGACAAACCATCGAAGGTAGTCGAATTCAAGAAGTATTGCTAATCTCCTTTGAAGATCAAGTTCCACGTCTACGTTAGCCCAGTGAAGCGATTTTGAGCGAAGCAATCCCTCGAGTGACAAACCAATGACAAACCATGTCATTTCAAGATGATGCAAACATTAACAAATGAAGAACCAGCTGCGATGGAAGTAATCAATATTGATATGCTAGAATTGACAGCTCCAGCGTGTCGAAGGAACATCATTGAAACAGTCGCTGCTGGCTACGTTGTTTGCGCAATGGACAAGAAAATCTGTAATTGCGCAACATCAAAGGCATCGTCCATTTTGAAAAAAAAAAAAAACGTTTGTTTCCGTTTTCACGCCCTTAGTAAACTTGGTACAAAGGTGACAGTGACATGTTTTAGGAATTTTAAGAAAGAGTAACCTCCTTGTGTCGGAAATGGATTTGAATGGGCTGCAACTTATTAGCCTGAGAAAATCAATTAGCAACCAAAAGCTAATGCAGTCAGACAAGAGAGCGCCAGACAAATAATTTACATCAACCTGTTTTGGCACATACGTCATCAATGCAT